ATAATCATACTAATTTTATAAATGTGAAAGTTTGTGTGTTTGTTTTTATGTTTGTTTGAAGTTCAATTACACAATAACTACTGGTCGGATTGTGCTGAAATTTGGTATGATGATAGCTTACATTCCCAATTAACACACAGATATAATAATATCTCAAAAATCCTTTCGGGCTCTGCCCCAGTGGCTCTGGAGTTTCCCATGTTAACCATATGAGTATTCATATTTAAAAGGAATTAAATAATTTTGTTAGCTGTTTCAACTACACAAGTTGGTTCTAAGATATTCAATAGCTTAAAATGTTATAAGGTTTACCAACAGGGTGCAACACTATTAATATTTTTGCATTTATGACAACAGCTAATTTGAACCAAGCAACAACAAAAAGATGTGATACACTATGAGAACTTTAATTTTTTCTATCGCTTATGTCCAGTGGTAGAACATTATGGCTATGGTAGATATACACAAAGCACGAGTATAACTGAAATAAGAATTTTAAACTTATACCCCAACCCCGTGCGAAGGACGGGTACTCAGCTAGTATTAATATATTATTCTTCAAACGTAAAGTTAAATTCTTCTTACGTCATATGGTGCAATTTTGCTAATTACTGTGGCAATTTTAATATATTTAAAAATTAGCACGAATCAAATGTTTGAAATCGACTCTGTTTTCAAACAAAGTATTTTTAAGTAGCCTAATATATTGGAAATAACACATCAATATTATAATTTTTTTAATTCCTTAATTAGCTCGATACATGAAAAATAAAAATAAAATGCCTCCATACATTTGAAGTTATAGATTTACAAAGTTAAAAAGTGAGGGCATCATACAGATGCTAACTAAATTAATTGATCTCAACAGAACTGAGTTACCTGAGCATTCTGTTACTTCCTGAAACTTATTTGCAGGTGCATTATTTACGAGACAAAATAAGCAAAACTAGCTGTACCAAACCCCAACAAAATATTAATTTAAAAACGAGCGTTTTTTACTTAAAATCTTCGATAACACATTTGCGAGTCCCTTGTGGCATCGGAGACTGATTTGATGATTTCATTCGACGCTGAATAAATCACGATTTTATTATTTATCATGAAGTATTTGTGCTATGAGTATTATATTAAAAATACATATGACATTAGGTGAAGACACTTTTTTTGTAGTTTGCTATGTAAATTACTGTTTAGACCAACGTTTGTTGTATTAATGTATAGGCTACTTTAATCTTTATAGGGACTGCTATACATTTTTAGATTTAGATTTTTGTTAGGCTATTAAAACTATGATTTGCTAAATATATTTATAAATGCGATTTCTGTTCGAGTAATTTCATTTTTAACATTAATTTAAATTTAGTCATAATTGTAATTTTATTTATACAAATATTTAAAGAACAAGTAACGCAAAGACACAATTTTACTTATGTTTTTTACAGTTGCAGTAAGCGTAAATATGAATTAATAAAATATTTATACATGAATTGTGTGCGGAACATTATTTTGAAAACCGTTCTTTATAACACTTTTATGTATGGCCTTGTTTCAAACATTTCAAATTGAATATGATGGTAAGTAGTTGGAAATCCTCACATTTACTTGTGAAATTTTGAATATATTTCACTTTCACGGTTATGCAGTACGAGAGACACTTTCATTAATAGTATATTCAAAACCTCTTGAAACCTTTCTAGAACTATTTTTTTTAACACGTCAATGATTAGTAATTTAGTAATTGATTAATATTAATTATTAATCATCCACTTTCAGAGATCTGGTATGCTCGTTGCTTTCTATGATTAGTTAAATAAAGCTTTATATTACATATATCTGAATACAGTTTTAAAAGAATAATAAGAATTTATCCTTGCTGTATGTTTATTATTCCCATCAAGTAATGTTTATATGACCAATAGTAGCCTATATAGTATGAGATGACTACTCTTCTGAAGTATACAAAATAAATCTTTCACAATTACGTATATTTTACTCAAAAACACTGCAAATTTAATTTTTAATATGCACTCTAATGTACATTCAAGATGCTGATGGAAATGCATGGATAACATTTTTTTAATTCTAGCCTTTATTTATTGAGGTTTAAATAGTTTATTCGAGGGCTATAGTTTTGTTCAATAGGCTATATATGCTACGACTTAATTTTTCTCATAAAATATGCACACAAATTATTATTATTCAAAATATCAAACAACAACAAAAAATCAAAACTTATTTCAAGTCATAAATATGAAATTCGAAACTATTTTCAATATAAAAGATAAGCATAATTATAACAATAAAAAATATTAGTTGGGCATTTGGGAAATTTAAAATTCTTAAAAATACCGGTAGATAACATTAGCTAAAATGGAACATTTCATAAACAAACAGAAATACATAGCAAGATTAATAATTTGTAATACTATTACTCGATTATTTAATTTATAGTACAATTAGAAACACATAAATTCATAAACACATTGCGTTTAATATTAAATATGATAGTTAAATAATTTTAAATTGCTCTGGCAGTGTTAAATAATAAATTAGGCCTATCTATAAAATATGCAAATGCCATAAAATTATTGAAATTATAATGTCAAGTTTTGTTTACTTTTAAACATTTAATGAATTTTCCTAATAGGCTCATGGAAGGACCTTAGACCTGGGACCACCTTTTTATTTCGTACGAAAGTATAAACCTACGTTTATTCCAACGAGTTCGCGAATCGGTGTTTTCGGACTATGAGGACGGGGTAGTATATGTGGGGTTTTATTGGGTGAAAATGATTTATTGAATTTCCAACCCTTAAAAACATTAAATTTCGCAATTAATCTCTTAATTATTTTATAGCCTAGAGCTTAAATAATAATTTAGTAAACTGATGCGTTGTTGTGCGCTAAACGGTCACGGAGAAAACTTAAACAAAATTTAAATTTAAATTCCTATTAGGGCCTAAAGTAAACTGTTTACTGTAGTTGGCTTATGAATATTTTTTTTGTTCAAACTTGGCAAATTTATTTACTTCATGCTGTACTATCTAAGCTATTTTACTAAAACACATGATTTCTCCCTGCAATAGCAAACATAAGTACTCATTAAATACCTGATGTTTAAAATAAAAGGGAATAAATCTAACATTTTTGATGAAATATTTGAGTGAAAATCCAATCAGGCCAATTTTCTAAGTCTGCAGGTTTGCGGCGGCAGGCGTATTTAGTTTTCCAATGTATATAAAATATTGTATAAAATATTGATACTTAATTTTGACAACATTAATAATTTGTATTATTATTTGTTATGGTTAAGTCTTTATTTAAACTATGGTAAGATTTTGACCATTGAAAAACTTTGTGTAGGCCTATTAATGCAATTATGTGTCTCAATCACTATACATTTCTTGTTTTTAATGGTTATAAAAAGGTCGAAGGTCTAGTTAAATCTTGATCCTATGTAGGCCTATAATATTATTAATAAACCAATTTAAAATTATAGCAGACTTATTAATAAAATGTTATTTTATTAACATGCTCTTTTTATTACGTAGAAGTTTTAAATTTCACTGTGTTGTTGTAACACACTCAGTGAAATCTTTTTAGGATAGGCCCCTATGTAATTCGGTAGTTCAGCATTAAAATCATCTACTCATTCAGTAGCTTACTTTAATAGATTTGAATAAGATTTATTCACAAATTAATGCTAAACTAACAAGTCGGGATAGCTGAAACGATGCGATGCTGTCGCTAAGGACATGATATGTTTCAATTTTTAATACCTACGGTACCTACATTTAATGATATCATCGACATTCATTTGAATCTATAAAAAAAGGATTCTCGTATATTTTTTGTTCCTACGGCGAGTTGTTGTGAAAAGTGTTTTCTAACGCCACAATCGGGGGGGTAAATTGTATATTGATATAAAGTAAGAAATGCTAAACCTTATTTAACATGTGTTAGCTTTTAATTTAGTATTTGATTAGCTTTTAATTTAGTATTTGATTATTCATTGAACCACGTGGTTTTTGAGGTTTTATATTAAATTTGTTGTTACAGATTAGGCCAACATTGCTGTGAATTTTACGACATGGTGAGGCTATAATTTATTCAAAACAACAGTTTAAAAATATACTTAACGTTCATATATAACCTTTTTCTTTGTTTATTGTGGTTTAAAGTCAAAATTAAGGCTAAAAATTGTATTAACTTTGTACCGGTAATATACTAAAACTTACAAAATTTTTATTATTTTATCTTAATGTTTTAATTATAACCTCAAACGTAAAAAAAAATTATTTACAGCATATGATAAAAGAACTTTGTTTGGCATTCTTTTTAGACGTTGTTTTATGTAAGATTTTAAAATGTTTTAAATCAATGCATAAGTTAGTAAAATATTTATTTGATTGTGTTTTAATTTACTTGGTTATTTTATTGTCATAAACCGATCAATTTGTGTTACCGGTATGGTTTTGCCTAAGTGTCAACGAATTTTAGAGCAACGTTTGCTTGTGTTTTGGAATGACCTGTCACATTTAGTTCGGCGAATTGAGGGCGGTTTTAGCGACTAGTCTGACAGGGGGACACGGGAGCCGGGCCGCCGGCGCCTCTACTACCCGGCGCTAGTCTACCGCCGCGGCACGGCAGCCGGCCACCTCGCCGCTCCGCTCATTACCATAGGGCTAGGCTATCATAGCAGTCAGCTTGTAGTCGTCCCATTGACAGTGGTCATGGAGTTGTTAAACAAGTTACTTATAACGTATGGTTAATCGATTTCATGTGGGTAGGCTAATTTATCTTTGACTTGCTATGTTTAGGTAATTAAACTAACGTTAACGTTTTTGTTAAGTATTTACTTAGATTATATTTATATGACTAATTAGGCCTAATTAACTAATCTGTCGATGGCGGCCCGTATATCCGAGACCGAGGGCTCGGGCTATGGCACTACACACTATGCACTAGGCACTCGCGGCACATCACAATAGACCACTTACCTGCCACTCTTCGTAATAACCATCTCGGTGCCTAACTTGTGAAACTTCTCCCACAGTTCTTTGCCTTCTAATGTCACTTTAGGATCGTCCACGATACCGTCGTCCTCTGGCTGTATGGCTCGCAGGGGACGGACCATGGCCGGGTGATGGTGCGCGGCGGCGGCGGCAGCTAAGACCACGTCCTCGGCGGTGGTGTAAGGATGTCCCGGAGGAGGCCGCGGCAGGAGAGTCCCGGGGTAACCGACGCCCAGAGGGTAAGGATATCCCGGCGGATGCGGCGGTGTCGTCGCGGCCCCGGCACTGCCGGCTCCGGCCGTCAACAAGGAGCTGACGCTGAAGTCCGTCGGTCGTTGGAGCAAGAAGGAGGCCGCCGCGGCCGGGTGGTATGATGCCATCTTGTCCGATGTTTCGGGCGGGCCTCTCGGCGACGGCGGGGCGGTGCAGGTTACCACGTCGGCTTGGTCGAACCTCATGGATGCCGGTGAAGACGACACTTTGAGGGCCAGATCTGCACTGAGAGTGAGTCACCGTGTCATCCCCGTTGTGGTCGGGTGTCGCGCGGACGCCTATCCTCTCCCGTCGACTCTCGTGACGATACTGACGCCTAGTCGCCGCTTCCCGCCGGCCCGGGTGTTAATGAGCGGCGCCTATTGGTGAGCGCGCGTCGACCAATGGCGAGGCGTGTCGCTTGACGCGGCGGGTGGGGGGGAGGCGTGGCCGATGCTCGCCCTCCGTGCCAACAGCCGCCGTGCTGACCGACGCGAACTACCCGGGATTAAAAAACCGAGATAATCGTGGGATTATGCACACCGAGGTAACGCTTACATTTATTGTATTAGACGTATCTGTGATTATTTTCAAATAATTAATCGGTGTGAAACGGAGCGCCTGTACTCGGCCATTCGCAGCCGCGGCGCCGCACTTCTCTCCACCTCTGCTCAAGTTATTATCTACCCCACGGAACTGTTAACTGTTAATGTGCGATATTTGTTATTGTATACGGCGACACCAACACCACTGCGGCGACTGTGATAACAGGCTACTGACAGAGCCATAGGCGCAGTGGTCTGTGTCGTAGACTACTACACGACATTTTAACATGATCATTTTTGTAATCTATAAGAAGTAATTTATATTAATACAAATTGTATTGCATCCTAACCAAAATTTCATAAAAATTAGTTTCTTATTTAATTTTCTTTCTTTATATTATGAAGATAAAAATACTAAGAATTACTATTTTTTGAAGTGAATGTATACTAATAGAAGTTAATTCGGCAATAAATTACTTATAAACAGTTTTAATTTTGATATTTCTATTACCATTTGAAAATAGCCAATTTTGATATTTTGCTTGTACTAGTTTTTTCACCTTGAACACGTTGGGACATTTTTGGATGGTTGCAGTTGAGCTTGTTTTCCAATGTTGACCTGTTTGTTTTGCGTCCACATTAGGCTCAAGCCTGTTTGTATATGAAACGTGTCAATCAAAGTTGAAGGTGTCAGAATAGTTTAGGGGCTGGTCTGGATTCGAACTCACAACATCACAAACCTTCTCTCCCATTTTGGGTGAATGTTGTAGCTTTGGATTATATAAATTGTCCTTATAACTAATTATCAACGCAAAAGTATAGGATGACTTAATAAATTGCTCAATAAAAACTACAACAACAACAAAAAAACAATAATATTAATCCCATAAATCTCCCTGCCACCCCAGAATATTACAATGTATAATAGGCCTATATAAGAGTATATTGTAATAACTTCCTTTACTAATCTGAAAAATACTTGCCAAGTAATATTGCTGATCTGCTTGTTCATACTTTTTCCTAGCACTTTTGTATTATAATGTTTTTACCATTGTAGCGTTTTTAACTACTTGCTTTAAACCATACTAGTATGTACTTATATTGTGCGTTATTCATAATATTTATTCTCTATCCCTCTAGTTGAACAGATTTAGAATCACATATTTATCACCAACTTCTTTAAACTATCTTATCAAAATGTTTTTGACATGACTTAAACAATTTCGCAATTTGTTTTGTAACCTAAATACATTTCTTTCAAGATCTACAATGAGACATTGGGGTCGGCCCGGCCGCTATTTCGTCTCGTAGACCCCTCTACCGACCCTATAGGGGAGGGACCCCTCCGAAATAATGTTTATGTCACACATTGATTTTTCAATCTACGAGGATTCCATTCGTAATACATCTAACTCGTATTACTATAGTCTAAGGTCTAATTTCATCAATATATAAATAAATCATCTATATCTTGATTTGTTTTTATATTACGGAACTATAATTATATTCATATCATTAAAAAAGTACATGTTTCTGAAGCAAAATGCTCCCTATAATATGCTACCCTATACTTGATAAAATGAATTAAACATGATGTACAGAAAATAAACATTAAACAAAAGTAAGTTATATTTTCTGTAACTAAAGAATTTTCACATTGCGAAACAACGATAAAATAATGTTATTGCTTTAAGTGAGGAGGGAACAAAGCTAACCACGATTATTTTTGCAACCTACAAAACAATGTATGCAAACAGCAACAGTGTATTTTGTGTGAACAGCTTTTTAAATTATTGATTGAGTTTTGATAGCTTTAAATATTATTTACTATTTAAAATATATTTAACTTCTAACAACGATCAAAAACAAAAATTAATAAAACATGAGTAATAATGCGTTCTAATGTTTTTGCGAACTTTTACGGAGTTTAAGTAAACCAGTTATTTTATAAAATATATTATTCTGTTATTCTATAAAGTTCATAGTTGTTAAGCAACTGTGTATAGCTGGCTTGGTTCTACATATTATTTAGGCCAGTTTTGTGGCAATTGATTTCTATGTATGATAATTAATGTAATATTAGAATATGCATTTTTACACTTTTAACGTATCTGATGAGTACAAAAGTAAATCATATTGTACATAAATCTAATTTATGTAGCTCATGTCATGAAAAATACTATGTAATTGTTAATATTACGTATACATTTTTCAATGCTTTACTATACCTGTGGTTACAATTCCTGCACCTTGTTGAATTAAGAGTGATGTGGAATGCTGCTGAATGATGGATTTTTGGACTTTGGAATGAACATGAATTGTATCGAACATGACTTGTAAGGATTTTGCAGCTTGTTGAAAACTAATTTGTAAAAATTAATTTTGTACTTAAAACATTTATAAACAAATAAATAGTAATATTTTGAAAAAATCTGGATACTGTATAATATACATGAAAATCATGGATGTATGAATATAAAAACAAATACAGATATAAAAATCATTATATAGACTACATATTTAAGTATTTCGTTTATGGATAAGAACTGTGGAGATTTAATTCCCTTAATCGACTAGAATATTTCAAATTTAAAAACCACACTAAAGAGTACATACACTAAAAATACAGATGATCATATTTCAATAATAAAAAAAAAACAAAATAAACAATAGGCTACGCTTTTATACTTTACTACACTAGTTAATTTCTTGTAATATTAGTTTGCCTTATCGTTTTCCTCTGTCTTTTAAACGTTGTAAATTGTAATTTATGTATTATTTGTCATACCTATAATAAATGTAGTTATTTAAGGCATGATCGTTTCTTGATATCAGGAAAAACGAGTTAGTACTAAAAACTAAGATTTCCTCAGGATCTTAATCTTGTAAATTAATTAAATTATATTAATTTTAAAATGAACATAAATAAACGCAAACATTATACGTAAGATTATCAATAATAAGTTACTAAAACCAAACCTAACATAAAATGTAAATAAATATAAACATTCTTTTAAGTTTAATCACAATTTGGTATACTATCTTAATCCTATAAGTTAATCATAAGTTATTAAAAACAAACCCAACATAAAATTTTAATTTGGCATAACATGCTAATTTATATCTCCATTATATTTTAGACAAATAAATTTCATATTTCTATATCCAATATTGTGTATATTTCATCATAATCTATTAACTTTATTCTCGATATACAAGACCATTTTATATTTAACAGTCAACACAAATATTATATACCAAGCATTCGCGTCACAATTCATTCACCAACTATTTACATAGTTTTTGCAATTTCCTTAAATAGAAAAACAGATAGGCCTTCAAATAAATATCGACAGCATTTCTGCAGTTTATAATACAAATAATTTATTAGATTACTTAATGGTGTTCATCCGAATAAGTTTGTGACCAATAATATAGTTTAACTATTTACCACTTTGTTCATATTGCTCCTAAATTAGTTTTTGATCACTATTAACTAGCACTATTAACATAGTGTTTTTATGTGTACATTTAGTATAACTTTTCAGTATCACTATTGTTTAACATTTTTAGCCTATCATTATACCCGTTTTGAGAAATATGTACGCAGTTTTGAATAGGTCTAAGATTATCTGGATAAAATACATGTAACTATAGATAATACAAATATTTTCTGAATAATCTACCTGTGGATGTAGATTTTACAATTATTATCTGAGAAATATACCTTTAGATCTAGATTTTAAGATTGTACAAATATTATGCGAGTAATATACCTGTGGATGTAGATTTTACAAATATTTTCTGAATAATCTACCTGTAGATGAAGGTAATACAAATATTACTGAGTAATATACCTTTAGATCTAGATTTTAAGATTGTACAAATATTATGTGAGTAATATACCTGTGGATGTAGATTTTACAAATATTGTCTGAATAATCTACCTGTAGATGAAGGTAATACAACTATTATCTGAGTAATATACCTTTAGATATAGATTTTAAGATTGTACAAATATTATGTGAGTAATATACCTGTGGATGTAGATTTTACAAATATTATCCGAGTAATTTACCTGTGGATGTAGATTTTACAAATATTATCCGAGTAATATACCTGTGGATGTAGATTTACAAATATTATCCGAGTAATATATATGTAGCTATAGATAATACAAATATCAACAGGGTAATACACCTGTAGTTATGGATAGCTACAAAATGTCCATATTGTAGGTTATTGTTATAACGAATCTTCAAGATAAGAAAACGTGGTAGGTAAAGTGTAAGGTTGTGGAAGTCCAGAAGCGGATGCTAGTTGACAGGTTATTATTAAACCAGTTGGAGTGACGCGTATATCGAGCGTAAGCGCAAATACAACGAGTAGAGTGGAGCATTGTGGGCATGCGCGGCGTAGACACCCTCTCTGGTCACCCATCGGTCACCCACTGGGCACTGGTCACTCAGGTGGGGGACGCAACATCCCCACACATAATAGAATGTCTTTATAACAATGCATACTATGGGCTGGACGATGACTTGTGGTGAAAGTTGCGGAGAGTAAATAAAACACTTGAAACATTTACACTTGTACTGCTAACTAACAAGATTGCAATTACATATAAAATATAACTGGTGATAGATTTCTATTGAATATTATCAGAATTAGGTAAATGATTTATCATAATTATTCGCCTAATGGGTCTGATGATGTGTCTAATCGAAATCGATCACCAATTACCATCTTTGATGTGTATTTATTGTCTTCTGAGC